AATTGAAATTGTTTTATTTATTTTTTATTATTATTTCGATAAATATAGTTTTTAGCAAATAGAAAATTTTGTAAATATTTTTTCCAAAATAAATAAAAAATTTCTTAAACAAAATTTGATTTATAACTTTTTTTTCACGTGCTTTGTTTATAAATTGTAATTGAGAAGCGAAAAATGTGCAAAATATTTTTTACTTTGTAATTTTAATTTCCCAACAATTTTTTAATTTTATTGAAAAATTGCTGTACTTATAATTTTTATTTGTCAAGCAATTAAGTTTTTCATATTGAAAAAAGGAAAATAATTAACATGAAAAATAACAATCATTTGTTAAGTACGTCTAAAATGTTTGTTACAAAGTGCTAATTTTTTTGGAAACAAAGGAAATAATGAAAAATAACATTAATAATTTTTTTCGATTAATGAAAATATTATTGAATTATTTAACAAATAAAAATAAAAGGAATAACTTCTAAATAAAATAAAATAATATTATTAAATTTAAAAAATAGTGAAAAAATAAAGAAGTATAGGGTCAGTCCACTGACTTTCGTCCTGATTCCATTAACCACAATATTATTTCGAAAATTTTATTTTTTCAAATTTTATTATTAATCAAAAGTTGGCCTCTCAGAGTGTTATTTTGTAACCTTAAATTTTTCACTTTTTTAAAATCGTTTTTATTCAATAACTATTTTATTTCATGTAACAGAACTTACCAAAAGCATAAATTATTTGATGGTGAATCAGAAATCGAAGCAATTGCTATGAAAATATATTATTTTTAATTAATTAAGTGAAATCAAACATTTTTTTCACAAAAAAAATTTCCGATTTTTTGAAGACTAACTTTTTTCTCAATGCTCCTAAAATTTCAATCTTCTCCGTGTAGCTTAACAGTAATATAATTTACTCAATATTAAAATTTGACGTATGTGTTTTGCTTCGTTTTCGAAATATTAATTTTTTTAAATTCTTCACTTAAAAAGGTTAATTTTAGGACTTGAAGTTAACCGACCAATTTCACATCACTCTATTTACACGTTGAAATTCGATGAGAATTGTATAAAATTAACCTTTTTAAGAAAATATAAATTTAAAAATTAATTTTTCAAAAACGAAGCAAAACACATACGTCAAATTTTAAGATTAAGTTAATTATGTCGTTATTCAACTATACGAAGAAGACTGAAATTTTAGAAGCATTGAGAAAAAAGTTATAGTCTTCAGAAAATAGGAAAATTTTTTTGTGAAAAAAATTTTTGATTTCACTTTATTAATTAAAAATAATATATTTTCATAGTAATTGCTTCGATTCCTGATTTACGATTAATAATGATTTATGCTTTTGGTAAGTTCTGTTATATGAAATAAAATAGTTATTGAATAAAAACGATTTAAAAAAAGTGAAAAATTTAAGGTTACAAAATAACACTCTAAGAGGCCAACTTTTGATTAATAATAAAATTTGAAAAAATAAAATTTTCGAAATAATATTGTGGTTAATGGGATCAGGAAGTCTTCGAGTTTTACATATTTTTAAACCAGAGTCAGTGGAGTGACCCTATAATATTATCTATCAAAACATATAAAAAAACAAAAGCATAATCATGACTAACTTCAGGTGTGAACAGACTGGACAGAATGAATGAATGCATGAATACGACGATTATTATAGTTAATAATTAATAATTGAAGAACAGAATAGAGTTATGTTGTCAATCGGATTATTAATGTAGAACAAATGAATTTTATTTTTTAAAATAAATAAATTTATTTTGATGTTCTCACAGTTTAGGCAACAATAAAATATTGTAAAAAGGAAAGTAATTTTTTAAATCTATATTAACAATCGTTTTTTTTCTGTCTCTTGTCATAATATAACCCAAAAATTTTTTTTGACTTTTTTATAATTTGTACTTTTGTAATTTTGGTCGATGACGAAGGACTCAAAAAAAAGAAAGCCAGATGAAAGGTCGCTAAAAACGTTCGTAGATAAGGTGGTAGACAAGGCGTCAAAGTAAAGCCAGGTCAGTAAAATATATATAGATGTAACCGCGAGGATGAGCTATGATCGTCAAGGTCTCTGAAGGCACGACTATGTCAATGTGCTAAGGAAATTTAGAAGAGAGGTTTTGTTTTGTCCATTAATTTTTTATAAACTTCAATATACAATTTTTTCTAAAACAAAATGATAGTTATTTTCCAGTCGTCAGATAAAACGACACTTAAAATAATATAAATATTATTTTTGAATTCTGAAGACGATATTCCAAGAATTTGCAAATATTTTTACTTATAAATTGTAAAGCTTTATTTATATAAACTATATAAAGTTACTTATAAAATATTATGCGTATACAATACTGTACTTCTTACTTTATTGAAAAAGTTTAAAAAGTAAAAAAGAGTAAAACTTGATGAATTAGATTAAAAGACTATTGACTTCATTTCTGCATTTTGAGAAATGTAAATTTTGAATTTTCAAGATCAGGAAACATAAAAAGAATTATAAAAGCTAATTTGAAAGTTTTTGCCATAACAATGCTTTTATAAGGAAGCGATATCAATACCTTCATTGATCTTACATAAACAAATTTATATTAAAAAATATTCAACTTATTCTTGTAATTTCATTCGAAAATATGCAAATAGATTTTGTTTTAATTTAAAAATATTTTAAAAGAATTCACATTGACAAAACCTAAAAAGAAGAATTTTTAGTAAGGAAACATAAAAGAAAGAAGACAATTAAACCTCTCATATAAGTAATAAATCTTTATTTAACAGTTACTTTATTGTTTCGCAACTATTACATAGTACGTAGAGTGACATTACTGAATCAAATTAATAATTTCTAAATTATCAAAAAACTTTTTCCACCTTTGATAAATTCCAACTGAATGATAAATTCCTTTTCTTTAATTATTACTAAATAATATTGTTCCAGAATACATTTTAAAGGTTAATTTAATTCTTTTAACGCTTTTAACATTTCATTTTCGTTGAGAAATTATTAATTTACTTATAAAAATTAAAAGGCAGTAAGCTTTAATTAAAACGAAAATAGTCCTAATGAAATAAATTACATGTTATAAATTCTTATTATCATTTAAAAACTTTTTTAAATAAATAATAATTCACTTTCTCGGTATTTTGAACTTTGACTCCAATTCTCATTAAGAACAATCTTTTATAGTGTAACTACAAATGTTTGAAATGAACGAGTTTCTTAGATCATTAATGTTACTACTACGTATTATAAATTTTTTTAATTTCATTTCTAGAAAATAAAATTGAAATTTTGCAAAATTTATTGATTCTTTTCAAAAATATGAGAAAAACTAATTTAATATTTTTAAGATGTCAACAAATTTTAAATTACTTATTGAAGTAAATAAATATTATAAACGAATGAAAATAATTATAAAAAAAATTAAATATATAAAATATTAAAATCTACTTTATTATAATTGTTAAGCTTATACAGTATTTTTTTATTGAAACTGATTTTAAAATAATTAAATTTTTCACTTTTTAAATGGGATATTATGAAATTCAACAGCCCTTAGCATGACAAGAAATATAAGATGAATAAATAAAAACTGTTTTATTTCTGTTTGTTAGTAAGATATAAAATTGCATGTAAATAAAAATTGCAAATAATTACATCATGATTTAATTGTGATTCTTATGAATAAATGTGGTAATAAAATACCACACTAATAGATTTACCAAGCTTCTACCTTGATTAGTACCATTATTCAGCAATATTTTGTTAACTATTTATGTACTCAAGTGCACTAATGATAGTGTTACTCAGTATTAGATGTGATTCATTAATTCATCAACAGGATTTTACTCAGAAAAAAACTGTTTAATTTTAATACAAACACTTTTTAAAAATCTCTAATAAAATATTTGTAAATCTGAAAGCCTAATAACTTCTAATTGAAATAGCCAAGTACAAATAAAAAAATTCTAGGAATTATTAAAAAAAATACATTAAGTCATAACGAATAACATTGTGATTGTCAAACATTATTATTGTTTTTTTAAACTATGAAGAATAAAGAAATAAAATATTTTAAGTTCTATTAAAATGATACGAGAAAATATCTATAATTTTAAACGCACGGGTAATTAATTGCTAAGAGATCTATTATCAAACTTGCTTGAATTTAAAAAGCTTATTATCATAATTCTTCAGCAATTTTTGCGTCAAATTTCAATTTTAATTAATTTTCTCTTTTTAAAATTTGTTTCCTCTTTTATGTTTCACTTAACTTTTAACCTGCTTCGTCTAAAATATTATTTTTAAGTTTCGTTTTTATTTGTTTTCAAAAAATTAAAATGGGATATGTCAAATGTGACAATTATCATGCGTGTGTTATGACGCACGTAGTTTTTATGCGAATACAAAAGTAATCGGCGGACACCTGTATTTTTTACAATATATATAAATTAATTTTTAGACACGTTGAAGTTAATATAAAAGTGTTTTTAAACATTTTTAATAGAACCACAAATGGAAGCAAATCAATCAAAAAAATTAGTTGAATGCGAATTTATACAGTAGGGGAGATCGGGGTAAATCCGGTCACTTTTGGTCAGATAGGTAAAAATTTAGAAAATTATTCTCTAAATTCAGATTAATTTATATCATTCGAAAGCTTATCATTTCTAATACCAAAATAAAAACGATTTTTTATTTATCCTTCTTAGTTTAACTTATAAATAATTTTTAATTCACATATACTAAATTTCAAAATTACAATTTTCCAGGATAAATTCGTTCACTTAATTTTTTTAAGACGGAACAGTTTTATTTTTTAAATATTAAAATTCGTCTTATTCCCGTCTTAAGTACGAATTATTATTTATAAATTATGAGTTCTATAAACAATAAATATTGGTTTAATAAATATATAGGTTTCATGAATTACAAATGTTGATTTAAATAATGTTATATTTTATTAAGAGAAAGTGAAATTTGGTTACAATTTTAGATTCAACAAGTTATAAATTTTATTATTGGTAAAATATAATACGTGAAATTATTTTATTCTAAACTTTTAATTTAAAACTAAGTGGCCGGCTTTACCCCAATTTCACGTGACCGACATAACCCTGAAAGTATTCCTCACATTTCAGAATAAATTTAATTAAATTTTTTTGAAAACAAACAAAACTATATATGGGTCAAAATTCAACTGCCCAGGTCAAAAAATGAATTTTCTCTCAACTTTGTTGAAATATTACTATTATTAGTAGAAGTGTAAATATAAATTTTTTTTACTTTGATAAAATATTTTTTGAGTTATGGAGTTTCATAATTTTGATTTTTTTGAAAATATCTTTTTTTTGATTTAATATATTGATAAGTAAAATTAATCAAACTTAAAGTATGAATAGTGATTTTTTAAGGGTTTTTTACGATCTATCAGCTGGTGATAAAAAAAGTTGTCTTCTTTCAATATGACCTTGAAATTCAAGGTAAAGTTCTTAATTTCAATATAACTCAAAATCGGTTTTTTTTATTTTTTTCTAATTTATCACAATTGAAAGCTTACCTTTTTTTCTATAAGCCATGTAAAAATCAGAGTGGGACCATGAAAATTTTTAAAGAAAATAATTATAAATCATCATGTCAATTGGAATAGGTTAGAAAAAGATAAAAAAACAGATTTTGAGATATATTGAAATTAAGAATTTTACCTTGAATTTCAAGGTCAAATTGAAAGAAAACAAATTTTTTTCATCACCAGCTGATAGATTGTAAAAAACCCTTTAAAAATCACTATTCATACTTTAACCCTTTGAGGGGCACATTATACATATGGACGGATTTTCTTTACATCTCAAGTCTTAATATTTTTGGAGTCGCTGATTACGAATTTGAAGTTATTTTTTAAAAATTCAAAATGGCGGATCCAATATGGCGGACATTTCTTTTTAATTAATCGGATTCGCTTGAAAACGTTTACTCGGGGGTTTTCGAGGTCGCTGATTACGAATCTGATATTAGTTTTTAAAAATTAAAAATGGCCGATTCATTATGGCGGATAATTTTTTTTCAATTAATCCTATTTGCTTGAAAATGTTTATTTGGCAGTTTTTATGGTCGCTAATTACGAATCTGATGTAAGTTTTTAAAAATTCAAAATGGCGGATCTAATATGGCGGATGACTCTTTATAAAAAGTTTATCCAATTGACCTAAAAGTTGGTTCTCGGGTGAACCCCGGTTACTGATTAAAAATTCGGTGATAGTTTTTTAAAATTCAAAATGGCGTTTGCAATATGGTTTATGAGATTTTTCAAAATTTATTCAGATTTGCTTGACACTTACTTTTAAAAGTTAATGCTTTTTAGAAATCTAAGATCAATTGGATAATTGTAAAAACTGAGTTTCTGAATAACTAGAATTTTTTTTTGTAAAACTAGCAGGAGTTTTATAATAAACATATTCCAGTTTATTAATTTAAAAAATTTTTCTTCTAATTATTAATCCACAATCTAAATTTGAAAATAGACTAAAGATTTGCAATCAGGGACTACAAAAACCTCCGAGTAACAAGTTTCGTGACAATCTAATAAATTTTTACATTTGTCATCTATCATATTGGATCCGCAATCTCGAATTTTTTAAAACTAACATCAGATTCGTCATCAACGATCCCAAAAAACACCGAGTGACAAGTTTCAGGTAAAACTAGACAATTTAAAAAAATCTTCCGCCATATTAGATCCGCCATTTTGAAATTTTAAAAACCAACATCAGATTCGTCATCAGCGAACTCTGAAACCCCCAAGTGACAAGTTTCATGTAAAACTAAACAATTTTTTAAAAATCGTCCGCCATATTGGATCCGCCATTTTGAATTTTTAAAAACCAACATCAGAATCGTCATCAGCGATCCCTAAAACCCCCGAGTGATAAGTTTCATGTAAAACTAAACAGTTTTTAAAAAATCGTCTGCCATATTAGATCCGCCATTTTTAATTTTTAAAAACTGATGTCATATTCGTAATCAGCTACCCCAAAAACCCCCGAGTAACAATTTTTTAGTCGATTTTCAAATGTTTAAAAAATTCGTGATTTTTAACAATATTAATAATTTATGAATTTTTTTAAACAATAGGAATTTTTTAACATGATCTAGGTTACAATTTTTAAAGCCCTATTCTTCCTGAAAAGAACGCACTACATTTGACTCAAAAATATTAATTTTTGTCAAAGATATTGAGGTTTTTGTAGGTGGGGACGTATACGTCCTACCGCCAAATTTGATTAATTCTACTTATCAATATATTAAATCGAAAAAAAGATATTTTCAAAAAAATCTAAATTTTGAAACTCCATAACTCAAAATAGTACATTGTACAACTAGTGGCGAAAGTGTGATTTTTCGAGAGTGAAGTTTGCTGCTCTCGCTACGCTCGAGCCGCAAACTTCACTCGAGAAAAATCATTCTTTCACCACGAGTTGTGTACTACGTTTTCTCCAACGCCTTGCGAGGAAAGGTTTCTTCGTGAGTTTCGTATAATTTTAATTTAACGTGTGCTTATGTTTAATACAATAAAAGACGAATGTTTTGAGTGGGGAAGAAGTTAGATACAAAATAAATCTCGGTCAAAGAACAAGAAAAAAGAAAAAATTCATGATTTACTTTCGCCACGCTGAATTTACTTTCGCCACGCCAAATTTTACTTTCGCCACGCTCTTTAGAGCAGTTGAGAAAAGTTCTACTTTCGCCACACTTTTCTACTAAGAAAAGTACTCTTTTCAGAGAGAGAAAATATTTTCTCCAACACTTGCTCTGAAAGGAGTACTTTTCTTGGTAGAAAAGTGTGGCGAAAGTAGAACTTTTCTCAACTGCTCTGAAGAGCGTGGCGAAAGTAAAATTTGGCGTGGCGAAAGTAAATTCAGCGTGGCGAAAGTAATTTTTAGCGTGGCGAAAGTAAATTTGGCGTGGCGAAAGTAAATCATGAATTTATTCTTTTTTCTTGTTCTTTGACCGAGATTTATTTTGTATCTAACTTCTTCCCCACTCAAAACATTCGTCTTTTATTATATTAAACATAAGCACACGTTAAACATTTTTAAATTAAAATTATACGTAACTCACGAAGAAACCTTTCCTCGCAAGGCGTTGGAGAAAACGTAGTGCACAACACGTGGTGAAAGAATGATTTTTGAAATTTTTGAAATCACACTTTCGCCACTAGTTGTACAATGTACTATTATCGAATTTAAAAAAAATTTATATTTACACTTCTACTAATAGTAGTAACATTTTAGCAAAGTTTCGAGAAAATTCATTTTTTGACCTGGGCAGTTGAAGAATTGAGTGCTTGGATACAACAAGGGGACGTACGCTCGGCGAGCCGCTTTAAAGTCAGTCAAAGGTACCGTAAAGTGTAAAAAATGAAAATTCAAAATTTTGAGTTTTAAAAACTGCCATCTCATAGGAAATAAAAATGCGCATCTTTTTTTCCTTTGAAATTTCTTTGAGTAATTAATATTTTTATATGATAATGGAAAAAATGTGATTAATTTTCATTGTCAAATTTCATTGAATTTTAAAATATAAATCGTCGTATCTCCGACAAAAATGAATGAATTCTTTTGATTTTTGGTATACAAATGCATTTGGACCTATAGAAGACGACAATATCACGAAAATGTTAAAAGTAATTAATTGTTTATTGATTTTTAATTGTTAATACTGACCGGTCAAAAATAATTTTTTCTTATCTTTGGCTGCAAAAAGTATGCGGGGAACTTTAAAATTCAAACAACTTCCAGTGAGACATTTGTTTATTACGATGTGAAGAAGTTATCTGTAAATTTGCAGAAAGATTAGTTTTATATTTACAGAAATACAATAGTTTTAAGAAAAATGCTCGCGCCTCCAACGATCCCTACCGCACAGATTTTAAGGTTATATTTGCACGGTAAAGTTTTATTTATATATAAATACATATATATGTGTGTAATATTTGCATTGAATTATTTATTAATTATTACATACTATATATACAACATAGGTATAAACTTTTTTAATAATTTTGTAAAACATTATGTGTATGAATATAAATATTACAAAAAATTCTAGCAGTATTTAATTAAATTAAGATTAATATCTGTGTTAAAAGAAATGTTTTTATTTTAAACATTATAAAATTTTTAAAACGTTTTTAGATGTCAGTGTTATTGTTTAAAAACCGGAAAAAATTTTTATTTTAAACAATTTTTGACAATTGTGATATTTTGAACTATTATATTTTAATAGATATTATTAGATTATACTAGATTCAACATAATATGTAATTAAAAAGGACATTAAGTGTTGTTACGGCATATTGAATAATAGTTTTAATACATTATAGAGTCGATAAAAATTGAGTTGTAAATAAACGATATACTAACAAAAATAAATATCCAGAAATAATCTTAATTTAATTAAATACTGCTAGAATTATTTGTAATATTTATATTTATACACATAATGTTTTACAAAATTATTAAAAAAGTTTATAGCTATGTTGTATATATAGTATGTAATAGTTAATAAATAATTAAATGCAAATATTACACACATATATTTATATATAAATAAAACTTTACTGTGCAACTAACCTTAAAATCTGTGCGGTAGGGATCGTTGGCGGCGCGAGCATATTTCTTAAAACTATTGTATTTCTGTAAATATAAAACTAATCTTTCTGCAATTTTACAGAAAACTTCTTTACATCGTAATAAACAAATGTCTCACTGAAAGTTGTTTGAATTTTAAAGTTCCCCGCATACTTTTTGCAGCCAAAGATAAGAAAAAATTATTTTTGACCGGTCAGTATTAACAATTAAAAATCAATAAACAATTAATTACTTTTAACATTTCCGTGATATTGTCGTCTTCTATAGGTCCAAATGCATTTGTATACCAAAAATCAAAAGAATTCATTCATTTTTGTCGGAGATACGACGATTTATATTTTAAAATTCAATTAAATTTGACAATGAAAATTAATCACATTTTTTCCATTATCATATAAAAATATTAATTATTCAAAGAAATTTCAAAGGAAAAAAAGATGCGCATTTCTATTTCCTATGAGATGGCAGTTTTCAAAATTCAATATTTTGAATTTTCATTTTTTACACTTTACGGTACCTTTGACTGACTTTAAAGCGGCTCGCCGAGCGTACGTCCCCTTGTTGTATCCAAGCACTCAATTTTGACCCATATGTACTTTGAAAAAGGACATTCAATTGCAGCAAAAAACTTACCTAAATAAATTAAGACTCAAAAATAATGATCGAAAAACTTAAATATCTGAAACAATAATAAAGTAACAGTGTTAATCTGAATTCTTTAAATGAACCTATGTAAATTAAATAGAAAATGTGAAAAATATTTTTTAGTAGAGAGGAACCTAAGTTCTACAACTTTTTTTAAAAGAGATAATATTTTAAAAATTTATTTTTTTCATATAGGACAAAAATTTCCCAAAGTATCAAAGCAATCCCAAGACTTTTAATTTTTGGCTAGTTAGCATTTCAGTTTTCAAAAAGTCGAATTGGCTGTCTATTTCTATTTTCGGGTCGCTAAAACAAAAAAGACCAGGAAAAACAAATTCGCCATTCCTTTACCCCCTAGAACTTCCTTAATACCTCAGAACCCACCTTAAAATTCCAACCCCCTGGAGGGGGTGGAATTTGTTTTTAAGAAAAGTCTAGTATGTTGTCTACTCAGCCACTCTTGTGTCAAATTTTTCTATTGTTAAAGAATTTCTTAGTATTTCAAAAGAGGTTATAAGTTTTAAACCTCCTTCTTTACTAATAAAAGAATAAGGGCCAATTATTTTAGCAAGTCTTAAAAATATTCAATTTTTAGGATGAATCTATTGCCAAATAATACTACCAGGAAGTAAACTATTCATTGTCTTTTACTAGTTTACTATTAGTTAATGTTTAATTTTAATTACAGTTTTTTATATCACGATAGATAAAGAACTCTTAAAGCTGTTCTTAACAGAAGACAAAGGAGGGTTAACTTCCTGATGGTATTGTTTGACAATAGATTTATCCAAAAAGTACATATGAAAAATGTTCTTTAGATTTTTAGCTGTGTTATTTTTTGTATAAGTAATGTAAAGTAAAATATTGAAGACATGAATAATGAAGAACAAACTAAAATAGTTAAGATTTTATTGTGTTAATAGCTTCACCTTGAAGTGCCTTTCTCTTTTGCGGAAAGTCCATTAAATCAGTTTTTTCGTATTTTAACTCTTTGACGGTAAATTGAAATTTTCTTTCTTTCAAGAGCACTTCCTGTTCTTTAATCAAATGTTTTCTCAGTGTTATTAAAATGTAAACGTCCTATGTCACCTTGACAATGTCCTGGCCAATGCTTTTGCATGTATCAAAGGTTCACGCCAGTGAAATCTTGATAGGTGTTTCATTTTACAAGGCCAAGGGGTACCTGTTACCCAAGGAGCTTAAAAAATAAATTTCATTATGGAGCAAAAACCTTGCTATGATATCAGGCTAAGAAAATTCAAGCTTGCTCACGAGACTGCATTCAAGGTGGAATACTCGCGTGCGTTGTCCAAACAAGACCACATTCTCTTAATTGAACCTTGCCCAATACTCTCGGTACTGGAACTGCTCTCTTTATGTTTCAGTTTACATTTTCAAAAATTTGTTTACAACTAGAGAATAAAAACAACTGCGATTAAAAATCCTATTACTTTTTTTATATTACCAATATCTGTTATTTCAAAAATTTATAATTCCAATTCATTAATCATTTAACATTCTTTTTTCAATTATTTCTCATAAAAATAATTATCAAATAAATGTAATTTCAATTGGTTATAACAAATTAAAACAAATTATTTAAAACAGTAATAAATTATTGTTTTAAAATTTTATACCAATATTATTCTTTTCTTCGACCAAATAGTAATTACATTACTCATATTTAAAGAATAGTATAAAAAAGAGGTGAATAACGTCAAGTAATACAATACAACAATTTCATCTCTTTTCAATCTTTTTATGTATCTTAAACATATCAAAAACATGAATTCAACTCACCTTCTCTGGGTGCTTTGATAAGTAGTGTCATTCAACTGACAACCTGAAATTAGTGATAAGAAATAATTGCTGTATAACGTAAGCTACTGCCAATAAAATTTAGTGCAAAACGCAGTCATCGGCAACTTACTAAAAACTTGTATAAGAAGTGAACACCGTATGTTGATCTATACTTGAAAAATGTAAAAGTGTATCTAAAATTCTTTTTCTCGCTCACAGACTTCAACGATCTGTCATAAGTAGGTGTAATTTGTCAAGAGCAGATAATATAAGTCTATAATTTACAATCATTTTATCATAGCTTATATCTTATTTTTAAACACATATATAAATGTATTTCTAAGTTATAAAAAGTTGTACACGATTGAAAACAAAGTTGCAAAAAGTTGTTTCTTACTTACAAAACTTTGAATTTGTAGCAGTATGTTTTAAATCTACTTTTAATAGTCAATATAAAATAGCTTATAATTTTATTCTGGCAACTAAGGATATTTTTTATATTTTATTCATATTTCTATAAACGAAATTTATTTTAGTTTTTAACCCATTAAAATTCTAATTATTTTCATCCATTCAATTTCTACTAAACTTTGAATCTAAGGCTTTTCAGGGCAGCTAATTACGAATCTGAAGTCGAAGGTTCAAAATTCAAAATGTCCGCTTTGACAAAAAAATTAACCATTAAATCGATCTGTAATCGAAAATTTAAAATGGTAGACTTAGTAGCATAGATCCACTTCATTTAATCCGTAGCAGTCGAAAAAATTAAAAATCAGTCGAATTTAGTTCAAATTTGATACTCGAGGACTTTTAGAGTCACTAATTATGCATCTTGCCAAAATTCCATAATTCAAAATAGCGAATCCAATATAGGAGACGATTTTGTCTCATATAAGAAATTTCCTATTTAAGAAAGGTGTAAAATTTTTATAAAAAGGGTATTTACGGTTTTGTGAGGTCGCTGATTTATTATTTGGTATTTTTTAGTCTAGTTCACTTCCAGAAATTTTTTTTCGTTTCCAACTTACTTTTGTTATTTATGCAGTTTCTTCGATACTACTTCTATATTATTATTTTCTTCAATAATTTTTTATCAGAATATTAATTCTAGACGAAATAATGAGCGTGTGTACTTTTAACTTGTCATATCGTTAGATATTTAATAATAAAGTCACGAATTTTTCTTTTTGTTAAATTCGCTTAAAACACAAGGGTTTTTTAAGTCGCTGAATACGAATGTAGGGTCAATTTTTAAAAATTCAAAATGGCGGATCTAATATGGCGGACATGGAAATTAAAAATCAACATAATTTTCTTTAAAATAGTTACTCGTGGGTTTTTAGGCTCGCTGAATACGAATCTGTCGTTATTTTTAAAAAATTCAATATAGAGGAATAAAAAATATCGCAAGTAAGGGGCCGTCCATAAACTACGTCACGCCTTAGAGGGGGGGGTTGGAATTCATTTTTTGTGTCGTTCTGTAGAAAAAATGGCGCTAAAGCATGTAAAATTTGTGACGTGGGTAGGGGAGGGGTGGAAAAATTATGCAAAATAGTGTGACGTAGTTTATGAACGGCCCCTAACTTGGGAATAAAGACAGCCAATTTGTCTACGATGATTTTTGTGACACGAGTGGAGGTCTCGGGGCGCCCTCGACCTCCACTCGTGTCACAAAAATCACCGTAAACAAATGGCTGACTTTATACCCTTGTTGCTTAATATACTATTTTTGATGAAAAATTAATTATTTTTAATAAACAATTTGAAAAATTGACATGTTCTGCGCTAGCTAACAACTTTTTCAAAAATGTATCAAAACTACATAGATTCAAGTTCATTCTGCAAAAATAAAAACTTAGATCCATATTTGACTATAGTAGGGTTTAAGGGGTTACCCACAGTTGCAACGCAAAAAAATAGGCTATTTTCGTGAATTTTTTAAATGCAAAACTGCTGAACTGTTTTAAACGATCAATATATCATCTGAAAGTACATATATTATACACATTTTAGTATTTTTTTATTAAAAAATATTGAATAATTTTGTTAGAAATTTCTGATAAATGAAAATTGTTTTTATTATTTTGTTTTGCGGTGACCAAAATTGTAGGGAACTGAATCATGTGAAACAAAAAATGTTAATAGATTTAGTTAAATAACACTATAAACTAGTCTTTAATCGAAGGATTTATAAAAATATGCATTTTTTAAAAATGGCTGACAATCAAAATTCGTATTTCGATTTTTACTAAAAAAATTCGTTGTTTTCGGTTATCGAACAACCATTTTTATCGAAAAATAAAATTGAACAATTAAAGATTACATTTTTATGTATTGAATAAGCCTGCTAAATTTCAGAAAGTTCGGTTCAGTAGTTTTCAAGTTATTTTGGTCACCAAATTTAAAAATGCGATTTGGAGAAAAACGCGTTTAAAGATTTAAGTTCATTTTACAGTACGAAATTTTTTTTTAAATCTATTTCTTTATAAAATCCCCATGAAAATAATTGTGTTTGAAAAATTGTAAAAGTTTTGTAGCAATATCATAATAATCTTCAAATCTCCGTCACTGAAAAATTTTATTTGAGTAAATAGAAAAGTGTTCCACTCAAGGAGACATTTCCCTTTTAAGAACATTTCCCTTTTTTTCCCTTTTTTAAGTGCGACATAATCCGCGCACTGTCATAAACAAATAAACCCCAATTGGACAAATATGGCCCTAACTAAGTTTTTAGTTTTGCCACAATGAACTTGGATTTACATAGAATCGATACATTTTTAAATAAAGTTGATAGCTAGCGCAGAACATATGGATTTTTCAAATTGTTTATTAAAAATAAATAAATTAAAAATTTGTTAAAAATAATTTTGATATATACATTATATAGAAATTATTATATAGGGTGATTGCACTAGTTCCTGCGGCATTCCTGCCAAGATATATTTTGCATAGAAAAAAAAATATTTATAACAGGTGGATTCCACGTCAGTTTAACACACTCATTTTCATGACTTGTTGGGATTTGGCTGTACTTTTGTAAAGTTATTACTTTTATAGTGATAAACAACTCCACCAAATATTTTTTCAAAATTTTGAAAATTACCAAAGATATGGCATTTTCAAAATTTTTGTCTTTTTTTTAAAGTGCTATAACTTTGGTTCTAATTAACCGATTTTGGATTTTAAAAAAACGATTTCTTTTGTTTTAGGTATATTTTAAGTTAAAATTAAAATAAAAAAAAATTAAAATTTTTTTTTTCAAAATTTTAAAAACTCAAAAATTTGCTTTTGAAAAAACATCATCTTCGATTTTTTTCAAAATTTTACTAAATGTTAGGGCAAATGTGCTTTACATGTCCTGTAAGTTTTATCTTGGGATGTCAAAGGGATTCGGAGAAAAATAATAAAACGTAACCACATATTACGAACATATGGGGCAAAATTCCTCAACTGCCCAGGTAAAATAATGAATTGTTTCTAAACTTTGCTAAAATGTTACTATTATTAGTAGAAGTGTAAATATTATTTTTTTTTGAATTTAATAAAATATTTTTTGAGTTATGGAGTTTCAAAATTTTGATTTTTTGAAAATATCTTTTTTTCGATTTAATATTTTGATAAGTAAAATTAATCCAAATATGAATAGTGATTTTTAAAGGGGTTTTCACGGGCTATACGCTAGTGATGAAAAAAAGTTGTTTTCTGTCAATTTGACCTTGAAATTCAAGGTCAAATTCTTAATTTCAATATACAGTAGATCACGGTTAATACGATCCCGTTTAATACGATTTCCCGCTTAAGACGCTCATTTATGGTGGTCCCTGCAATTAAAAACATACATTTTATATCCCACCTAATACGTTTTCCCGCATAAGACGCATTCTTAGTGCGGTCCATAGAGAATCGTATTAACCAAGTTCTACTGTATCTCAAAATCGGTGTTTTTTATTTTTTTGTAACCTATCCCAATCGAAAGCTTACCTTTTTTCATATAAACCATGTAAAAATCAGAGTATGACCATGGACCCAGGTGCGATTTTTTGGTCGGCCCATAGTTGGGCCAACTTTTACAAAGTCGGTCCAACTTCTCGTGCCAGAGGTTGGGCCAACCATACAGATGATAACGGCGACCGTCTAATGGCGACGATGGTTGGCCCGACAACACATAAGGAAGTTGGCCCAACTTACAATGCATATGTTGTGCCAACTATACATTTCAATGGTTGGTCCAAAGACTGACGCCAAAGTTGGCACAACTTTAGATGCGTAAGTTGGGCCAACCACAATTTTCAAAGTTTGGCCAACTTCAACAGCCAAAGGTAAAAAATTATTAAAAAACTACATTATTTAAACAATTAACACGTTATTATTAGCGGGAACATCAGATATAACCTTTACCTATTATTATTAAACACAATCTCATACATACATTTTCGAAAATATCTATCGCTCGCTGGGATCGAACCCCTAACCTAACGCACCGAAGACTTATACACAGACCACTACGCTACGCTCACATGGGAGTGCATAACGCAAAATGTATATTTAAGCTGCAACAGTCGGGCCAACCGTGGCCCAGAGTTCGGCCAACCAAGAAAGTTTAAGTCATTTAAACCGCATTTGACAAAGTTTTGCCAACCGTCGGGCCAACCGTGGCCCAAAGTTCGGCCAACCAAAATAATGTAAGTCAATTAAACTGCGTTTCTAGAGTTTTGCCAACCGTTGGGCCAACCGTTGCCCAGAGTTCGGCCAACCAAGAAAAATCAAGTCAATTAAACTGCGTTTCACATAGTTTTGCCAACCGTTGGGCCAACCGTGGCCCAGAGTTCGGCCAACCAAGAAAGTTTAAGTCATTTAAACTGCGTTTCTAGAGTTTTGCCATCCGTTGGGCCAACCGTTGCCCAGAGTTCGGCCAACCAAGAAAAATCAAGTCAATTAAACTGCGTTTCACAGAGTTTTGCCAACCGTTGGGCCAACCGTGGCCCAGAGTTCTTCCAACCAAGAAAGTTTAAGTCAATTAAACTGTGTTTCACAAAGTTTTGCCCACCGTCGGGCCAACCGTGGCCCAAAGTTCGGCCGACCAAGAAAGTTTAAGTCAATGAAACTGCGTTTCTAGAGTTTTGTCAACCGTTGGGCCAACCGTGGCCCAGAGTTCGGCCAACCAAGAAAGTTTAAGTCATTTAAACCGCATTTGACAAAGTTTTGCCAACCGTTGGGCCAACCGTGGCCCAGAGTTCGGCCAACCAAGAAAAATCAAGTCAATTAAACTGCGTTTCACAAAGTTTTGCCCACCGTCGGGCCAACCGTGGCAAAAGTTCGGCCGACCAAGAAAGTTTAAGTCAATTAAACTGCGTTTCACAGAGTTTTGCCAACCGTTGGGCCAACCGTGGCCCAGAGTTCGGCCAACCAAGAAAAATCAAGTCAATTAAACTGCGTTTCACAAAGTTTTGCCCACCGTCGGGCCAACCGTGGCCCAAAGTTCGGCCAACCAAGAAAGTTTAAGTCAATTAAACTGTGTTTCACATAGTTTTGCCAACCGTTGGGCCAACCGTGGCCCAGAGTTCGGCCAACCAAGAAAGTTTAAGTCATTTAAACTGCGTTTCTAGAGTTTTGCCAACCGTTGGGCCAACCGTTGCCCAGAGTTCGGCCAACCAAGATAAATCAAGTCAATTAAACTGCGTTTCACAGAGTTTTGCAAACCGTTGGGCCAACCGTGGCCCAGAGTTCGGCCAACCAAGAAAGTTTAAGTCATTTAAACTGCGTTTCACATAGTTTTGCCAACTGTTGGGCCAACCGTGCCCCAGAGTTCGGCCAACCGAAACTGAAAGTCTTTTAAACTACGTTTGGATAAGTTGTGCCAACCTTTGTCGCCAAAGTTGGCCCGACGGTTGGTTAAACTCTGCATTTAATGGTTGGCTTGCAAAGTCGGGCCAACTGTGGGCACAAGTACTTGCTAAAGTTGGGCAAACTCTGGCAACCAAAACTTTGCTTGCCAAAGTTAGGCCAACCTTGGGCCAACCTTCAAACTGTGGCGGCCAACCTAAATTCGCACCTGGGGAACTTTTTAAAGAAATTAATTATAAATCATCATTTTCTATGTAAAATAATGATAAATTATTATTTTTCTCAAAAATCCTCATGGTCCCACTCTGATTTTCACATGGCTCATAGAAAAAAGGTCACCAGCTTATAGCCCGTGAAAACCCCTTTAAAAATCACTATTCATATTTGGATTAATTTTACTTATCAAAATATTAAATCGAAAAAAAGATATTTTCAAAAAAATCAAAATTTTGAAACTGCATAACTCAAAAAATATTTTATCAAATTTAAAAAAAATTTAATATTTACACTTTTACTAATAATAGTAACATTTTAGCAAAGTTTAGAGAAAATTCATTGTTTTACCTAGGCAGTTGAGGAATTTTGCCCCATATGTTCGTAATTTGTGGTTACGTTTTATTTTTTTACTCCGAATCCCTTTGAGATCCCAAGATAAAACTTACAGGACATGTAAAGCACATTTGCCCTAACATTTAGTAAAATTTTGAAAAAAATCGAAGATGATGTTTTTTCAAAAACGAATTTTGAATTTTTTAAAATTTAAAAAAAAAAATTTTTTGAATTTTTTTTTATATTAATTTTAACTTCAAATATACTTAAAACTAAAGAAATCCTTTTTTTAAAATCCAAAATCGGATAATTAGAACCAAAGTTATAGCATTTAAAAAAAAAGACACAAATTTTAAAAATGCCATATTTTTGGTAATTTTTAAAATTTTGAAAAAATATTTAGTGGAGTTGTTTATCACTATAAAAGTAATTTTACAAAAGTACAGCCAGATCCCAACAAGTCATGAAAATAAGTGTCTTAAACTGTCGTGGAATCCACCAACAAAGGAATTAAATTGAAAATTTATTTAACTAATTGTTTGTATTTTTAAGAAATTTTTGCAATAATTAATAGCCTATGAAGTTATAGAATTTGATTAAATTTAAATAATTAGAAAGAATATCAAAAGCGTCTAATTCTGCGCGCTGTGTTAATTTTTTACGCCATTCAATAGAACGCAAATGAAAACAAGAAGTTATGATTGTTAAATTTTTCTATCGATTCCTAACTGCCGAAGTAAGTTCTCAAACTTTATAACATTGTGCATCTGAGCATTATGGTTTATAAGAAATTATTAAGTCTAGGTTATTTTAAATCCTACTTTTTGATTTCAAACCACTTTCAGAAACTTAAATAGTTTTATTGAATACCAAGATATAGTAATGAAAGCTTCATTTCAGCTATAGTAATGTATGAAATTCGCATAAGTCTGTTTTTATAGCACTCACAGACCATATGAAATTCATGTCAGCTTTTCTTACCCTACGTTAAATGGTAAGAAAAATCGATCCATATCAATTTTTGTAAACAGTAATGCGCTATTTAATTCTAATTTCTTCACTGAGCCTTCATCAGAAAATTACAGCAATTATGATTATGACTTGTATACCATAATCAAAACAAAAACAGTCGTGTTTCTCTAAGAACTAGATTGTATAATTAATAAAAACCACAACCTTGAATAAATTACAACATATGGTAGAGATTTTGCCGTCCTCTTCTCGTATTTGAATTTAATCATACTTAAAAATACCTACAAACACAAAATATTAAAAATAAAAAGAATAAAAAAATTTCTAGTAGTTTTTAAGTAATAATATTTCAGGAGAAATTTAGAAAATGACACTCCATTTATCTTAAACAGGCACATAAAATCATACATTTATATCTCAAACTTATATTTATTTTTATTCTTAATTCTACTTAGTCTTCAGTTTGATCATCATTAACGTAACAAACGCCTTATTTTTGATAGGTTTTCCTTTTGCGAGTAGATCTATTGTTCATAAACAGATTACAAAATGAAAATTAATAAACTTTGTATTCTATTTATTGAAAATTGAATTTATGCAATTTAAATTTTTACATTTCAACAAATACATTTACGATATTCCAGTTACGAACAAAATTGGTCTTAAAGAATCTTCTTTGTATATTTTAATGAAACTTATGACAAGAGTTAAGAGCTTTTTTTCTCCAAAATGACAGGAAAGCATAAGAAAAATAGCAATCGTTTTAGGTAATTTGCTATTAAAATCTTTACAAGCATTGCTTGCTTTCTTTATTTCTTCACCTATATCTATGGATTTTTTTGGACGGTTATTTAGATATTCAAACTATTAACAATAATCATTATATGTTGTTGTTCGCTTTTTCTCAATGTTTTCGTTTTAAGTATTAAGAACATTCTTTACAATAAAAACAGAAGAATGTTCAAGAAAATAAGACACTGTCATTAAGAGTGGCCAATGTAATAAAAGAATTTCAGACAGCATTGAATTCTGATTGTTTCTTTTATTGATGGTAATACATTGATATAAGTAAGTTTTATTTAATAAATCTTTCCTTTGTTTTTCACTCAGGTGTCCTTTTCTAAAGTCTTTTAATAAAACTTCTATTTTTTCCATCTGACATTCTTTTGATTTTTCATCTGGCATACAAGGTTGATACGCAATGTATCCATATTCATCTTGTTCTAGTTTTAACCTTTTTAATGATTTAGTTTTAGTTTTGCTATTTGCCAATCGATTATCTTCAGCTTCTTTATTTTCATGATGTGCAATTTTTTTTCTTTTTCTTATATCTTTATCTTCCATAATATACAGCATCCCATTATTTTCAGAATATTAGCACCATATTAGAATATGTACACTTGTTGTCAGCGGACATATTATCCCAGGTTTTACAGGCAAAACCCCTAGGGAATTTATTAATTACGAACATGTCTAGCCGAACATGTCTAGCTACATGTTCGGCAGTTTTTAATGTAGAATCTTTGATGCTATTTTTCATGTAGTCTGCCATAGACGCTGACCCCAAAGGAACAATGGTACTGACTCTCGAATTTACAGAAGAAGTTGAAATGCTGTTGGTTTGTTTTTCTGCAAAATACAATAGTATTAAAAAACATTGTATTAAAAACTTGACTCTTCCTAGTTCGCACGCAACTTATCAAAAAGTTTACAGTTGTGAAAACATTTTTATTAATATCAGTAAAAAAAAGTAATATTAAGAATTTACAACACATTCTTCCTACATTTGTGCTTATGAGTAATTTGAAACTTTGTAATAATCCATGTATTTACCTTTTTGTAACATTTGAAGGGAGTTTTAATATCTGACATGAATAGAAGAACTCTTCAAGAATAGAACCGACAGCTAAGTTCCTTTTCATGCCTCTAAAATTTGTTACCTTAAATAGTGGCATTTTCCGACTACAACAAAATATTTTTTTGTCAAAGTAGTTATATAAAACATTTTAAAGTGATCACTTGTAGTATTTTAAAAATTTAAACTGTACCATTAAAAATTCTGGTAACAAATATTTGACAATCGTAGTTATTCAAACATTCTTTTATAAAAAAAACTTAGCTTAGACGCCAAATATGACTGCGTTCCCGGCAGCAAGGAAAGTGAAAGAAAAATGTAAAAAGCTACTTGATGAAGACAATCTATTTCTATCCGCATCTTCAAAGTGGACTTCGCTTAATTTGAGAATGGTCTCACAGACCAGGCTATCAATTACTTGAGAAAAATAGTCCCAATGAGTTGCTGAATTATCATATTCAAAGAAAAAATGAAATTGATTGAATTTATTATTTGGATCATCAGTCTATCCAAACAAATATTTGGAAAACACGAATTGCCATTTTAGCGATTTTTACTACCTAGGATAAAGATGTTTTTTTTAAACATAATGGATAGATTAGGGGGATTATATTAGGGGAGCAAAGATCACATTGTATATACATATGAATATAAAGTAAAATAAAATTATTTTTGATCAACATCTTACTATATCTTTTGATGCACAATAATGATTATTTTTCGTTTTAGCAAATTTTGCAAGAGGAGGATCAAATTAAACAAAATGATGTCTGTCGTTGAATATTGGCGTGATCTCATATACAATAAAAATGGTAACTATTTAATTTATAATTTTTGTTTTTGCAACATTTTGTCATAATTTTAATGTCGTAATCTCATTGATATGTAGGTTTATACATATTTCAGCGAAAGCCTTTATATCTTTACATACTAGCTACCCACACAACACAATACATTAATATAATTTTATTTTATCCCCTTCCGTGTTTGAGAATAATTTTGTAGTATAATCTTGAAATGCATTTTTCTTAATTGTTCGATTATATCGAGGTATAATGATGTACACTGTCGACTATTGTACAGTATACACCATTAGAAGTCGGTTGTCGATAAACCGGTTGTATTCAGGAGAAGTTTTCTACAGTTTTCCTCTCCTCTGGCGAGAAAATACATTAGACGGGTGGTCCAGGCAAAATTTAGTATTATGTATAGAAAATATTGTAAGAGAAAATGTATCAAATGTAAACACTTGAATAGCTAGATAAGCTTAAGACGGGTGTATAAACAAATAAAATATATAGGTATACTATCATCGGTTTGTAATAGTTATCAATTAAGAGAAGTAAATACATTAGAGAATTATTGTATGATACACAGTTTTATTATGAGTTTGACTGTCATTTCATAGTTGTCAGTTGATCAGTAAAGTTGGTAATTTGTCATAATTGTCCAAATTTTTTTTGCAGATCCTAGAACAAAAGATTGGTTTTTGGTAACAGGCCCAGGACCTCTATTGATGATAGTTGTCTCTTACATCTACTTTAGCACCTCAGCTGGTCCGAGGTACATGAGAGATAGAAAACCGTATACTTTGAGGAATACATTAATTGTATATAACTTTATTCAAGTTCTTCTAAGTATTTACCTTGTTTATGAAGGACTTATGGCTGGATGGTGGAATGATTACAGCTTTCGCTGTCAACCAGTCGATTATTCTAATAATCCCAAAGCGATGAGGGTAAGAGTTTTTTTTTATTAATTAAGTATTCCGTTCGCAAACGTAAAGGCCTAAGTGCAACTGAGTCGGGTACGTAAGACGAATGCAGCTAAGTTCCCGCAATCGTCTTTATTGTGCGTTGACAAAGCGGTTACAGGAAACATTGGCGCAACTGTTTCTTTAAGACGGTTGCTTGCGGAACTTTAATATTCCGCATACGTCTTACGTACCAAACTCAGATGGGTTTGTGTTGCGTCTTCTTTGCCATGTAGATACAGCATTTAGTTCATACATACAGCGCTTTAGTTCTGCGCAAGGAATTTAGGAATGTAGTGTTTCCAACTGCTAAAGCTTACTCTACATTGCTAAAAAAATAGTTATTTATTAGTAAAAACATGGCTTGTTCAGCTCTCGCCATAGAATATTTACAAAGTTCATAATTAGTTTATTACTTTCTAAATCTAAATTAGTTGGCAACACTACATTCCTTGCATCAGAACCAACGCACGGGTCAGTCACGCGTTTCACAGTGTGGTGTTATACGTCCAGGTTAACTTTTCATGTCCTTGGGGTATACACTTAGGACATTTTCAGGACATATTGAGAACGTGTTAAATATTCTCATTAAGACGCCGTTAAGTCTGCTTTTAAGACATCTTAAGATTATCTTTTTTAAGACATTGTTAAGATATTAATTAACATTATCAAAGAAAATTTTTTAAAGTGGAATATTGAAGTTAATATATCAAAGAACGATGCTGAAAAAGGGTCAAATTCTACCCAGAAGGGGAAAGTAAAAGGGTTAAAAAACTACCCCTAAGTCATATATGTCATTAAAACCCGAAAAATTAAAATTACATATAGTTTTTGTAAAAACGCGGACTTTCACTCAGTATTTAAATTTTCTTTAAATAATATCAATAGAAATAATAAAAAACAATTGCACTCTACAAAATAAAAAACTACCCTCTGAGTCCCCTCAAATTTGAAAATTACTCAAATAATTTGAAGTGTAAGATAATGCTAGGTACTTAATTTCAAGTCATTATTTTCTACTTGTCCCATACTTTTTCAGCGACATCCAACATATAACAAAGCAACCCTCTAGCATGTCAAAAAACCAACCCCCATCATCCCTTAAAATCCGAAGCTCCATGAAAGCCTTAAATATCAAAAAATTAAATCTATTACTTTTCTGATCACTTTTTTAATTAAAGCAATATTTTTCCAAGTATTATAAAACCTTAAAAGAAACTACCCTTCTTTTTATCCTTTATACATAAAAAGACTTAAAGATCCTAAAATAGTTATTGATTATCTACAGTCAGTGGTAAAATGATTGGAATATCCAATCAATGAAGATAAGATACGCTCACTTCAACCAGTTAAGGTAGGATCATTGGAATATCCTATCAGTGAAGATGAGATAAGGTGTCAACAACCAATTAAGGTGGGTTCATTGGAATATCCAATCATTGAAGATAAGATGTGCTCTCACCAACCAGTTAACCCATTAAAGACCAGACGGACGAAAAATTTCAATTGACTTTGAGGACCTCGTTTTTCATTAAAATGCATATAAAAAATTAGCACATACCATTTTTAATGTGAAATTTACTCTTCTTTTAGATTCTGTTGCTAAAATTTGTTTATACCAAATTGTTAAAAAGTTATATACAATTTTTTACAACAAAACAAGATTTTTCAAGAAAATAATTTCATTACAGACGTATTTTCACCGGAAAAAAGAAGGTAGATACTCTTAAAAGCTCAAAATAGCGCGTCCACGGACCCTCAGATACAAAACCCTAAAGCGACTAATTTTTTTCAAAATGGCGTCTAAAACTAAAAAAATGGCTCACATATGAAACATAGTGCTCCAACTTTTTCAAGTCACTAAAATCGCCTGAAACTAATTACTCGGGGGTTCTTGGGGTCGCTGTTTACGAATATGATGCTAGTTTTCAAAAATTTAAAATAGCGGATCCAATATGGCGGACGAGTTTTGAAAAATTAATTGTATTCATCTAAAACTCTACTCGGGGGTTCTTGGGGTCACTGGTTACGAATATGATGTCAGTTTTCGAAAATGTGAAATAGAGGATTCAATATGGTGGGCGCAAATTTAAAAACTCTTCGAATTTTCTCAAAACTCGTCACTCGGGGGTTTTTGGTGTTCCAATTAACCTAAAACTTTTTTCTTGTAGGTTTTCAAGGTCGCTGATTACGAATCTTATGTCAGTTTTTTGAACTTTAAGGTGGCGGATCCAATATGGCGGACGAAACATTTTAATGTCGTCTATTTCACTTAAAATTCGTCACTTCAGGGTTATCGACGTCGTTGATTACGAATATAATGTCAGTTTCCAAATCTGCGACAAACAGTTTTAGATCAATCAGGATAATTTTTAAAAAATTCTGCCATATTGAAACTGTCATTTTAAATTTTGAAGAACTAACACCGAATTTATAATCAGTGACCCCAAAAACCCTCGAGTGACAAGTTTTGATCAAATTTGACATTTTCACCCTGAAAGCGCACACTTACGAATCCATCCTTAAACCGCACACTGGGTGTGCGACACCCGGGGACTTAACAGTGTGTTCTTTAAGCTGGAATAGGATATTATCTTTTATAAAAATTATCTTATGTAACTCAGTACATCTACACGGAAAGAAAAAGTCCGTCAACCATTAATGGATTAGTATATTACTTTGAGACGGGACTCTTTTTCCGTTGATGGTTACTTAACTTTACTTAACGATTGAAAACGAGTCATGGATTGATTAGAATGCCAGTATGTGACCAATTGTTTTAGATTTAATGCTGAATTGTTATCAATGGCTGTTTGAATGTTTACGAATCATTAGTGAAAGTTTGTGAAACGTTAGTTGACTCGTATTCTAAATCGGCGCTCTTCACTAGCGCATTGTTGCGCAGTGTACCGATGCGCATTTCTTCCGGTTTCTCTATAGTCCATGTGTTTTTGCTGTCTGCTATACATATCCCTATATACTATTATGTGTAATGTGAATATTTAACTTAACTAATAATTTGCAGTTGAATTGCGTCTAGAAATTGACCTCGATGAAAATATATTTTCTTTTATATTTCTCGCTAATTAAAAAGTAGTTATTAGTGCAAAATCATTTCTCACAAGTTGTGAAAAATTTTGTTATTTGGTATATAAGAACAGTTCGCTTCTAAACTTAAAGTGTTATAAGTGTGCGTTTCTACGTGTAGTTATTATAAGTGCGAAAATGTGTTGGTCTAAAGCGTCTAAGAGTGTAAATAAAATATCAGAACTGTGCAACGAAAAAAATGTGTTCATTCTGTACCAAATAGTGTCTAAAATTAGGGATAATTCTGAAAGAAGTTGAATTTTTTGAATGCTTTTGATAGTCATAGGAAATTTAATAGACAGTTTTCTAAATTTTAGTGAACGAGTTTTATATATTGATGACAGTTTTCTAAATTTTAGCAAGCAACTCGTCACTGATTGTGACTCAAAGTATGTTATCCATTCAATGATTTTGTGTCCCGTCTCAAAGTAATATACTAGTCTATTAATGATTGACGGACTTTTTCTTTCCGTGTATTTTGAACAAAAATAGGTTTCATAATGATTTATTTAATCTTAATAACTACAAAAAAAAATTTCTTAAACTACAGAAATTACCTTAAACCGATAACTGGGCGTCAGCCACATAGAAATTTTTCGCCGTCAACTTCATAACGAGTAACGAGTTTCAGGTGATTTCAGTGACTTGAAAAAGTTGGAGCACTATGTTTCATTTGTGAGCCATTTTTTAAGTTTTAACCGCCATATTAGCGTCCGCCATTTTGAAAAAAAATTGGTCGCTTCAGGGTTTTGTAGCTGAGGGTCCATGGACGCGATATTTTGAGCTTTTCAGAGTATCTACCTGCTTTTTTCCGATAAAAATACGCCTGAAATGAAATTTTTGTCTCGAAAAATCATGTTTTTTTGTAAAAAATTGTTTATAACTTTTTGAACAATTTGGTATAAACAAATTTTAACAGCAGAATCTGAAACAAGAGTAAATTTTACATTAAAAATGGTATGCGCCAATTTTTTTATGCATTTTAATAAACAGCAAGGTCCTCAAAGTCAATTGAAATTTTTCGTCCGTCTGGTCCTTAATGGGTTAAGGTAGGAACAATGAAATATCTAATCACTGAAGATAAGATGAGGTGCCACCAACCAGTTAATGAAGGATGATTGGAATATCCAATCGATGAAGAAAAGATAAAGTGCCACAAACCTGTTATGGTTGGATTATTGGAATATCCAATAAATGATTTATTCATTGATTGGATATTCCAATTATCCTACTATAACTGGTCTGTGGCACTTCATCTTTTCTTCACCGATTGGATACTCCAATCATCCTACCTTAACTAGTTAGTGTCACCTCATCTTATCTTCAGTGATTAGGTATTTTATTGATTCTATCTTAACTAGTTGGTGAGAGAACATCTTATTTTCAATGATCGGATATTCCAATGATCCTACCTTAATTGGTTGCTATCAGTTCACCTTATCTTTAGTGATTAGATGTTTCAATGATCCTTCCTTAACTGGTTGGTGAGAGCGTATCTTATCTTCATTGATTGGATATTCCAATTATTTTACCGATGAGTGTGGATAATCAGTAACTATTTTAGGATCTTTAAGTTTTTTTATGTATAAGGGATGAAAAAAGGGTAGTTTCTTTTAAGGTTTTATAATACTTGGAAAAATACTGCTTTAATTAAAAAAGTGATCAGCAAAATAATAGATTTAATTTTTTGATATTTAACGCTTTTATGAAGCTTTGGATTTTAAGGGGCGATGCGGGGGTCGTTTTTTAACATGTTAGAGGGTTGCTTTGTTATGTGTTGGATGTCGCTGAAAAAGTCTGGGACAAGTAGAAAATAATGATTTGAAAGTAAGTAGCATTATCTTATACTTCAAATTATTTTAGTAATTTTCGAATTTGAGAGGACTCAGAGGGGGTAGTTTTTTTATTTTGTAGAGTGCAATTGTTTTTTATTATTTCTGTTGATATTTTTTAAAGGTAATTTAAATGGTGAGTGAATGTCCGCTATTCTACAAAATTGTATGTTAATTTTAAATTTTCAGGTTTTAATGACATATCTGACTTAGGGGTAGTTTTTCAACCCTTTCCCCAAGGTATGCAACTTGTTAATGGTCATTTTCGGATTCAGCATGGTAAAAGCTATTAAAAAATACTCTTTTTTTCTGCCCTTCTGGGCAGAATTTGAACCTTTTTCAGCATCGTTCTTTTATGAGTAAACATCGTGTTGGACGGTGTCCCATTTTTTAACCCAGAAAAAAATTTTATTTGCTGATTCTTTTAATGTACATAATATTTGTTTGATTTTCAGATGGCAAGAGGAGTCTACTTATATTTTATCTGTAAATTGATAGAACTTTTGGACACCGTTTTCTTCGTATTTAGAAAGAAACAGCGTCAAATTTCTTTTCTACATGTGTATCATCATGCTATGATGCCAGTTTGTGCTTGGATTGGTGTTCGATACGTACCAGGGGGTCAGTCAACTCTTCTCGGTGTCATCAATTCCTTTATTCACGTCATCATGTACACGTATTACATGCTCTCTGCTTTTGGTCCTGAGATCCAAAAATATCTCTGGTGGAAAAGATATTTAACATCTCTGCAGTTAGTGCAATTTTCAATCATCCTCATTCATAATGGACAAGTTCTTTTCACAGACTGCAATTATCCTAAAGTTTTATCATTTCTTCTTACTGTCAACGCCGCTTTCTTTATCTATCTTTTTGGTTCTTTTTACGTAATAAATTACACGAAAAGATCTGAATTACGTAAATTTAAAAAAGTTACTAATGACGGTATTCAATTTCATGAATCCCCAAAAACAAAGGCTGAATAAATAAAATTTTTATAAAGAAAATTCCAACAAATAATTGTGAATTTTACTTTAATATTATTGCCAGATATAGTGAAATATGTATTAATCTGTAATTGTGTCAAAAAGGACCTGTCGAAATGACTTATATTATACCGATTATTGAGTATTAAGCATTATAGAATTTTCTATTTTGGCTTTGAATGGTTAAATTTTAGTTGATACAATAAGATCCAGACCGCATTACCATATTAAGCCTCGAATCATTTAGTATATTTCATGAAATATTATTCTTAACGTAAGGTATTTGATAATTAAGCATAAATTAATAAAGTAAAGTCAATAAAATGTATTTATAAAACACAACAGTAGAAGATATAAAAGAGAGATATAAGACAAATAGAAATTAATGTATTTACTTTTTTCTGGCACAACTTTTTCTACGAAAAATGAGAATTCTCTAAAATAAGATTCTCTTTACTTGAAATACTGTAAAAGAAAGGTACAACTGATATATTTATTATTTTTACAAGAAAACATGATTTGTATAATTGTCTGCATTGCACTGTATTTATAAAATGAACACAAAAAAAGTTACGCGACCAGAGTAATGTTAAAAGGTAAGGCGACGAGGCGGTTTTTAAAATTATAATAAATCAAAAAGGACCAAAGTTGCATATGTTTATAAACTTAACTAGCATAATCGCAAAGGTGCAAAAGTAATTATGCTGTTATGCCTTTCTCCTACAGAGTTCATTAAACTGTTTGAATAGAATTAAGAATTTTAAAAATTGGTGATTAAGGTCTTACTTCCATGAGAGTTGTTTTTAGCTATAGACCATGGGTATAAGAATGACAAACAAATTAATTTTATAAAAGTTTTTTTTAATAATGTTCTTACAGGAATTTAATTTCATAAGGGAGTTATTATAAAATGTGTTTGGAGGACGTCTGCTTATCTCAAATAACAAAACATGTAACAAACCAAATAAATTTTAATTAGGTCAAATAAAATATCTAATTTCACCTTACGAATGTTTTTACTCAAACAATATAATAATAGTTGAAACAATTTATTTATTTCTCTTAAATATTTAGTTTGTTGATCATTTAAAAAACATTTAACAATGTAATTGAGTAGCTATATGTAACAAATCGACGAGCGCGCAGACAATCTCTCTATAATGCCACTGAAGTTCATTTTATTGATTCAAGGAAATTCAATTATTAAATAATAATAATTAGTTATTTAATGCAAATGAGTAAGAACTTCTAAAACGTAACATATAAAACTTAAATTAAATTTTTTATTTTGCTATTGCTACTAACAATTAAACATTTTTACTACTTTTCTAAAAATCAATCACAGAAACAATTCTTGACCGAAAATTCATTTGATTAAAAAGTGGCTGACTCAGAGGGTTATAAGAGAATATTCAAAATTTTCACGAAAATGCTGCAGAGCGAATGCCCTTCTAAATGATGCATGGTAATATGTGTAACGATGTTTACCTTAACTTACGGGTTCTACCCATTAATCGATACAAAAATGGCAACTTCCGTATTTTCGGTTGCCGAATTATAAATTCCACACTTCGAATTTATAATACACCATCGATGACCCTTTTTAGGAAACTTTCCTGGCGCACAGGTAGGTAAACTACTCGAATCACGATGATGAAACAAAACGTAGAACTTTCCAGAGCTAGGTTTTTACCGAGCTAAATATTTTATACCCACGAAGTTAACTATTATATTGAAATAATAGTGCGTGAGTACCGCACACAGAGGAGAGAGACAAGTTTGTTAGTGTGTTTAACACACACACATAAAACAATTGAATAAAGAAAATTATTTGTATGCACACGAATATTATTTTCTTTATAAATCACTTCTTTTATTTTTGCACACTGAATTTGCCTCCATTTTTAAATGTTTTTACAAATTTTTTATCGGAATTTGTAGTTTAAATTGAGTACTTTTACACAATAAATTGTTTTAATTAAAAATGTTAGTGGTTTTATTTTTAGGTTTGCCCCAGCAGCATGATAACAGGCCCAACATCTATGACTGGTGGTTGCCAGTTGGCAGTAGATTTGTGCCGAATAATATCCATTGTTAAACATTTTCGCTCGGTTGATAAATAAATACCAATAAATAAATTTATAACGTAAATCAACCAGAACGAATTCTCTTTAGATTAACAATATGATTTTTATACAACTTAACATTCCTGTATTATATTGATTCTTTACAATTCAAAAACATAATGAAGTAAAATGTTGAGTTCGATTCTCACTACCGCATTTAATTTAGAATAATTATTTAAGAATTATGTAACTGAATAAGTTTCGGCGAAACTTTAATTCGGTTTTTATAAAGTGATTATTTAAAATCAACGTTATATATATGTTACGCTGGCGTAACATGAACATGCCAGAAACTCTAAATAATCTTACATCTTTTGCTGAGATTCTCTAATCAAATAATTGGCGATTCCTTTTGGATTATGACAATTGACACATAAACGTATCAATAGTTGAAGGAGAAGATTTCACTAAAGTTGTTATATTGGTCGACGTTGAATTTGCGAAAATATTATTTTCTACAAATAGATTTGATTTTTATATCGATCCATAAAAGAAAATCATTCCATCTTCTGAATTTAGTGAACAGCAATACGAACGATCTTTCTTGCTGCAATCGTTTACAGTGAGTTTCTATCATTTTAATAAGGAAACCTGTAAAATGATTGTCTTTTTAAAGTTGGACAACTATCTACTATCAAATGAAGAGAGTGAAATCAAAAGATTTATTTATCAAAGTTTGGCGTTGGCGTTCTTACCGAAAGTGGAAATTGAAAATTTCTTTGATAAAATGAAGAATAATCGATCTGACGACGCCTTTCAGTCGTTAATGATTTTTATAATAACATTTAACCGAGAATGGATAACAACAGTCACACCTTGAAAATTTTTAGTCTATCCTGAATTGAAACGGACTTCTGAGTATTTGAATTGTATTCTTCGCAATTGCAAAATTCTGGTACACATCCAAGCATATGGGATTTTATCAAAGCGACTGTCACAATTCAAAAACAGACGTATTCCGATTGTCAAAAGTTGGGGGATAATCAGAGGAACGGAATTAAATCAAATCAAGTTCTTAACCGCGTGAAGAATCTTTAACATCAAAATTTATTTGTTGCAAAATTATGATGCCACGTTGGATTCAAGAAGCTTCTGTTAACGTGTACATTGACAAGGCATGTAAATATAATTACTTAACCTTTCAGAAGAGTTTAAATAATTTTATCTAAATATCTGAAAAAACTTTATTATCATTAAATGATATCATTGATTACAAAATTTATTTTTTAAACTTAATAAGATTTATATAACTGTATTTAAAAATATTTTTATACATGATAATTTTTATTATTTATTCGTATTTATTTAATTATAAATGGTCAAATTAAAAACATATTTAATTTCTGATTAGGGTGTATTGGATTTCGTCTCCGAAACCTTACAAGATTTTACTTTCATTGGAATGCCAGTCCTTGGTGGTAGTGAATCCAGTAAAAAATATAAATATATGTTTGATGTAAAATTTATATGAGCGGAATAAACTTCTCTTCTACTTCGCATCTAATTGTCTAGCACCTGCTGATGGTTTCGAAATGTAGAATGTTGCTTTTTTATACCTACAACATATATTAATATTAGTATTTTTAAATTACATTCATTATTATCGATTAGTTAAATGATAATACTTCATTCTGAAAGGTCTACTGTTATTTTTGAAAAATTGATATACATATCCATTACTAAAATTTATAGTCAACATTATTTTAGTAATGGCTAGAGAGGGGGCAAGCACGCGGGCAGTAAGAGTGCAGTACCATGCTGGTAGAATAGTAGAATAATAGATTTGACCAATCTGAAAAAGTGTTAAAAAAATCCAGTCATCTAATTAGTCAAACTGTTCAACTATTCTACCGCAATGGGACTGCACCCATGGTGCAATGTGATGATGAAAGAAAAGTTAACGTTATATGGATTAATGCTCGATTAATACTAAAGAAAGCATAACTGACATCAAGACAAATCTTTTACCCTTAGAAGCACACCGAGTCTCGATCGACAAATTCTTGTCAAAGTCGAGAAAATCGTCAAAATAACAATGAAAACAATTGAATTTTATAGTTTCATCTTACTTCTTTTATGTAAAGATGCAAAAAACAAACGACTTAAAAAATTGATTTTCGCTAAATTATACAATTTATCAAAAATTAAGCCTTCCAATTCTATAACTCGCCCGACGCTCGAATGCATGCGCAAATGCCAGTCGAGTAGCATTGTCGCGTCGATCGAATTATAGAATTGGGAGGCTCAATTGTCAAAAACAATATTTTTTAGAGGTGTCAACCCCTTTTTCAAAAATTTGAAATAATGTGAAGTCCCATTCGGGGCACTGTAATTAAAAAAAAGTATAATGTTTATAATATAGTTGTGAATAACATGATTACTAATTTTTTATATGACAAATAATTACTTCTTTTTAATATGTTTAATAGCTTTTTCAACAGCATCTTTTCTCAAAAGCGTAACAGTGCAGCCTCCAAAGCCTGCTCCAGTTAAACGACTTCCCACAACTCCCTCAACTTCTCTTGCAGCAGATACTAAGATATCAAGTTCCGGCGAAGAAACTTCATAGTCATCCTTTAAGGAGTTGTGACTTTCATTCATCAATCTTCCAAATTTCATTAAATCTCCATTTTCCAGAGCAACAGCAGCTTCCAAGCATCTTTGAATTTCAGTAATTACATGGCGAGCTCTCTTGATCATTACTTCTGGACAATTTTTTGATTTCAATACTAGAATGTTAAAAACCAAAAGACAATAATTATTGTTATATCCAAAAATAAGGAACTGCAGTGAAACAACAGTCAAATAAACAATACATAAAAAATAAAAGGAAATCATCAAGTTACAAAACTTTATTATAAAATTAGAAGAATGTATAACACACTTGTGTCGTCATCGAAAGCATATCGCGAACTCCTTACTTTTCTTATTATATTAAATTGCTTCCTTCGTTTCATTCGTCGTTCATCGTCCAAAAATCATATAAAAGTTACCTGATAAGTTAACCCTTTGAGGACCAGTGTTGCTTTCAGGCAACATGAACATTTTTTTATTAACTCGTGCATAAATTTCCTAATTTTCAAAACTGAATATTGAAACAATAATTTTCACATAGTTTGAAAAATTGCGTATGACAGACACTGGTCTTCAAATAAAAAACTTCAATAACTTCCTGAAAAGTTTGCTTAAAAATCAAAAATCGCGATTTTTTAAGAAAAAATTTGGTCCTCAAAGGGTTAAGAGGGTCCTTAGGCCAAAAAAATATTTTTTCACTTTTTCAGTGATTCTTATATAAAAAAAATATTCTCTTTTCATCCCAATAAACCTCACATCTCTAGCTTAATTAGTTTTTTTTTACAAATGCGCTTAAAAGATGGATGCAATTGGCTAAAAAAACGTTACAAACTATCAGTACAAAAGAAATGTATAAAATTGGTCCGCGATTTTACATAGCGAGTAGGCTATGTTCCAACTCGAAATTGATGTTTTTCCGTATTAGAATGCATGGAAATCTCGAAATATGTCAATCCCAATACGGACAATTTTAAAATGCTAAGAAGAAAAGAAACTTAGCTCCATCGGCAAGTTTATTTATTCAAGTGAAAGTTGAAATTAAACTCCAGTTTCTTACAATTTAATAGATACATATTGAAAGTTAAATTTTCAGGTGCAAATATGACCATCAAAATGCATTTTCTGTTCAGCCATTTGAATTTCTTCCCTGATAACCTAGGTGCCGAAAGCGATGAACAAGGTGAACGCTTTAATCAGGATATGGCCGAAATAGAAGATCGCTACAAAGCAAAGGATTCTGAGATGAATCACTGATGGCGGACTACTGTTGGTTTTTCATTCGCGAAGATGAGACCCCGAAAAAACGTAGAAGTTCAAGCCGAATCTCATTCAAAAACACTGCGGCTAAAAATACCGACTCAAAGCAATCAAGTAAAACAATTCAAAAGTGCAAAAAAGTAATTGAAAATTACATTAAAATTAATTAATTAAGTAATTTGAAATGGTTCAAAAAATTAAAACCTTGATATTTTTATTGTTTGATTTGAATTTATTGTACTTTCAATATTACCATATTTCTTATAAATGGACTAGTCATCTTCACTACGTGATAATTTAAATAAAACTATGTCATATTGGATACTCTTTTTTAAATATTTGAAAATTTACCTTTAAATCGTACTCAGCGGACAGAGTAATATAACGTGAAAAAGCCAACGAGCTCCGTTACACCGAAAATGATTTAGATAAGACTATCGTTAATTCACCGATTCCCTGTACTTCATTGAAATCGCCCCTAATCATGTCCGCGGATTTCACTTTTAAAACTAGAATAGAATGTTTGCTGATTGATCTCGATCTTATCAACCCCACTATAATATAATCTAGAAAGCTGAAAAATGGACAGGTGCTCGTTAAAAAATTGGGAAATTATACATTTTCTCAATTTTTGTTAAGAATACCTTCTATGATCACCTTCTTCCTGAAGATCTTTATTCGGGAATTTGTAGCTTGAAGGTGGCTGTCAAGAAAATTGATATCACTTCGATCAGGGTCTCGTTAGTAAAACATAGTCTCGACAAATTGCCCCCTCACACATTACGTATTACTATTCAATACGTATTCTCAAACAGCAACATCACGTTTGCTTTAAGTTGAGTCTCTAATGAGTGAAGGTGCGCATCGATGTTCATAGGTATAGATATATACCACAGCATACTTTAGTATACCTATAGCTATAAACATCGATGCTCACCTTCTCTCATTGGAGACTCAACTTTATGCATGCTCGGGAGAAATCCAAACTCATCCCCCCGAAAGACGAAAAGATTTAATAAACGAATACCCTACAAGTCTAGTAGGCGGACACAAAGAGGTAACAAAGACATTTTGAATAATTAGGAACCGTTTCGTTTGGTTGGAATTAAAAAGAGATGTAAAAAATTTCATTAGATTTTGAATTAGTTGTCAACGACAAAAATTAGTATGGGTAAAAGCAAGGTAACCGATGGTTATCACAGATACACCGGCCGATACTTTCGATAAAGTGTCCATGGATCTTGTAGGCCCTTTGCTCATTGCTCTCGACGGGAACCAATATGTTTTGACAATAATCTTTTACACGAAACGCTTACTCATTACGTGTGTCTACTACAATGATTAATGAAAACAATAATCAGTTTGTGAGAAATGTAGAAAGAGTCGTCGAAATATGTAAGATGGTGTAAGAGATGTTTATGAAGAGTCGTTGAAATGTGTGACAGATGTGTAAAAAGAATTGTCGAAGTATGTAAGCAGGGATAAGGGAGGGAGAGTGAGGAAAGAGAAAAGAAATGTAGCGAAATTGAATTTTGAGAAATTAGTGTCGTCAAGGCCCTGGTACGAGCACCTAGCTGCGTATAGGTCAGCGAGTGGCGCTAAAAAGGGCGATTAATTAAATTTTACACGACGCACAATAGGGGTAAGAAATAAATTCGTAAAAGTGAAATAAATATTTGTAATTGAATAAATTTCTAATAATTGTGAAAATTTACAGCGGTTGGTGTATGAAATTTGTGACACCTCGTGTTTGTAATTGCGGCTTAGAGTTGCGACACGACTGCTTGAATTGGTAAATCTGATAGACGATTTATTGAAAGAAACTCATTTCGAAGGTGTCTACCAGATCAATTTCTGTCGTCAAAGATCATCATTAATGTTAATTCACCTCATCCGTTTAACATACTTCTATTGATGTTACGAGGATACTGATTCTGAATTCAATTACATGACAAAGTGGATACCTACATCTGTTCAGGTTGTTCACGATACTTTTACTTTAATATTCACGACAACGGTGAGTTGAACTCAATTATCATTGATGCTAATCAAAACAACATGCCTTTTTTTGCGAAAAACGGCCAAAATTTAATGTTTTTCGCGGAAAACTCTATGAAGATTAACTCCAATCACGTTCGCTATATTTTTCGTGCAATCTACGCGTGAAAATACATACGTGTACCAATTTTTAGCTCTCTAGATGAAAAACTGTGAGCGTTAGGGGGGGGGGTACATGGTCATTTTCCGTAACCGTTTTAATAGGGTTCCTACCGGGTACGGAACCCTAAAAATAAAAAGATTAAAAAAATTAAACCTAAATGAAAGTTAGAAAAAGTAAAACTACAGTTACCTTCAAGATCTACTAATGTAGCATCCCTAAGACTCTTTTTTCCTAGCAACTTAGATGCTTCAAAACAACTATCTCTTCGTTCACAATAAGCACTCGAACTCAATTTGTGAGGAGAATTTGAATTCGTTATTAGGAAAACGTTATCCTCAATATTCTCTATTGGAATATGCTTTACAGAAAGATTTCTGCAGTCTAAAAGAAGAGCATGACCTTCTTTTCCCATAACTGATATGAATTGGTCCATTATTCCACAAGGAACTCCAGCAAAGTGATGTTCAACATTTTGACAGACTAAAGCCTGTAAGATAAGAAATATTATTTGTAGTATTGCTTCTTCATAAAGAAAGAATTGTATTAGTAAAAACTTTTAATTGTAGTTTTTTGCCATATTTCGATATAATTTGACCTCAGGAGTCCAAAATACATTTTTTTAAATCTCCGTCTGTCTGTGTACTAACATTACATTAGCTTCAATATCTCAGAATCAAAAATAGCTGTATGCTTAAATTTTTTTTAATTTAAGGGAGACATGAAATAAGAGAATTTCAGCCCATTTCTTAAAGTTAAACTATACTTTTTTGCATTTTCAATTTTATAAAATAAGTTTTTTGACTATAACTTTAACAAAATGTTATGACACCTATAAATTTTTTTTTACATTGTCAAAATCGACTATTTTTTATGATCAAAACTTTTATTAAAAGGTCATTTACCTTATCTGTTAACATAAATTTACTATAAATTGAAAACATTTTAGGGATAAAATCGTGGATTTTCATGGTAGCCACGAGAGCTTTCTGCCTCAGGGCGCCGTAAATGGGATAGAATCCACTCCTGAGGAGCTGCTACTGACCCTTCAGGAGTAGATTCTCAGTTTTTTATGTCGAGATTCCTGAGACAGATACCTCTAACTTAGACCATGAAAAGCCTGTAGTTTTCCTAAAATTTTATCAGTGCAATTTTAAATATAAACTAAAACTATTGACTCACCTTATCCTCCAATTTTGTTGTAAAACAACCAGTAAGTGCCTCTAGAAAAGTATATGTTCCGACTTCTAATGCTGCTGAACTACTAAGTCCGGCTCCAACTGGCACAGTTGAGACAATGACTGCTTTAAACCCTGGTAATATTCCTGTAACTAAAATATAAATTATTATTATGTATATTATTATGTAGGGGAGATTCATTTAACCAGTCTTTGCATTATACCACTTTAGATGTCAAATACCACATCCCAGAGTAATACAGAGTTTTAAATCTTTGATAATTCTAAACAATTTTCGTTACGAATTACTTTGAAGTCAAAGGATCTCTAATTGTTGATATTTTTTTAAAGAAATTTTAAATGAATTTAAATCCAATTTATAAATATGTTAACATTGGAGTTTAGCGATCATATTACATCGGAATATATGATGTCACAATATCAGGTTTTCACCTTTAGGATCCGTTAATGAAAAAGAAAAAAGTATTGAAAAAGAAAAGTATTGAAAAGGAAAAAAAAGTAAAAAAAGTAAAAAAAAAAGTATTGAAAGTATTGTATTTAGAGTGAGGTTTCAAAGAAAGACTATAAAAAAATCTCCTTTTATATCCTATTCAATGACAAAAATTGGTTCCATTTATTTTGTTAAATCACCGACATTTCGGGTTCTGATCGAGAGCCATCATCAGGGTTATTTTTAGATTTTAAAAGGAAATCATAGATTGATGTTAGAAGAAATGATGTGAAAAAATGTAAAAAAAAAGGAAGTAATGTGATATGAAGAGACCTTCATAGTCTTCCTTGGTCGAGCGCGTCTAAGCGTCTTCTAGTACCGCTTAAAAAATTTTGAGAATATTAGAAATTTCCATTTTTTTTTATTTTATTAACATTATTAACATCAAAAATTAAAGAAGTTTATAATTAAAAATATAGAATCTGATATTTTCATGATTCCCAATGTCTAAAATTTATTTTAAAAATATTAATTTGAAGATATTAAAAGATACCCTTTAAATATGGTTAACCTGGTTTATGAAGTAAAGTATAAAGCTAACAGTTCTCACAAAACATTAAAATCATACTATAAAATTGTGTCAGGAATAATTTTAAAAAATCACAAACCATCAGAGTAAAAAAAAGCATCAGAAAATCTAAAGAATAATCAGAATGTCTGATGTTTTGTGATAATTCCTCGATATTTTTTTAGTAGGGTCTTAGGGAAAGTTAACTTTTAATAAAAAAGAAAGAAAATGCACAGGAAGTAACGAAGTTTCCAGGTCGATTCAAGTCATTTCAGCACTAGTTGAATTTCCTAATATTTTCACAGGAATTATTTTCTTGAATAAAAGTTTCTTTTCTGTCAACACTTTTTAAGGTCAACTGGTCATCCTAACCTACAAAATTGCAGTAACAATTATCTTTTCATGACTTCCCACAGGAATTTTTTTCTATAATAAAAATCTTCTTTATATATATAGGTATCATTTAAATATCTAATGCCACGTATTTTCGTTTTTGATTAATTATTTTAGATTTTTACACGCAAAAAATAAAGCCACAAAAAAGAAATACTTTAAATTTACGTTACTGATGCTAACCTAAAATCCGCCATTACTCAACTGTAAGATCTATATTTCCTTGTATTTTGTAATATATAATCATCCTCAATTTTAAATTTAAAAAAGAGAATACAAGCTTAAGCGCACAACACTTACATGGAAACTGATCAATGCAACCTTTGACATAAGTGGCCCATTTAGGATCCCCTGACTGTAGGCTCGTCTTGTCATTAATATCGAACTCAATTTCATTTTTGTCACCAACTGCATCACAAATGGAGACTATTTTACAAATATTATTTCCTGTCGCTTTTCCAGCAATAACAGTAACCATTGACAGAGCCTAGAAAGTAAATTTATATACATGATAATTTATTTTATTATAATAGATTTGAAAGCAGTAAAGTTTTAGTTAACAGTAGGGTAGTGGCATCAGTGAAAGAACATTTAAGGAAATGTATACTTTCGATACTTTTTATTTTTAATTGACATTCTTGAATTTCCTTTTAAACATATGCAATGCATAGCAAAATTTCTAAAGAATTTGAAGCCTATGATACAAATTTTGTAAATATAACATGAAATATCAAATTTTAATCAAATATTGAAAAATGTCCATTTTACCAGTGAAAGAATGTTGACCAGTAAAAGAACAGTTGTATTTTCCAGTGAAAGAACAAATCAAATTTATATTAATACAGTGTCTAAAAATAACAAAAATTGTATGAAAAACGCTAAAAATATTCTGAAACAATTTTGCAACTTACTATTATTAATATTTTCCTAATTACGCAACCAGAAATATTATTTAATTGAACCTGAAACTTGTAACCTTTTTTGTTTATGCTTCATTCATTTGTCATGTTGTCTGTTAGGATGTGCTAAACACGAATCTGTAGTCAAAAATAAATTGTGACAGATGGCAGCTGTCAATAATGCTGTCAAACTTTTGACAATGAGTATTCAAATATTTTATTCCAGTATTTTACATTAATTTAAATAAGTTAAAGTATTTTCTAGACTACTGAGATCAAACTAAGTAGCAACATGTCTTTTTGACAGTTTACAGCTGTCAAAAAACTGTCAAACACGGAAAATGATAGTTTTTAAGAAATTTTACATTTACTTTCTCAAATAGAAGTATTCTTTATATTACTATGATCAAACGGTATCCGAACAAGAAGTCCAAACCACAAAATCCAAAGTAAAGAAAATCCAAAAAAGTAAAAAAAAAATAGTTTCACTTTGGACTTATTTTTTGGATTTTTTGTCCTGGTAAAAAAATCCAAAGAAATTAAAAATCTAATAAAATTTAAATGGTTGCCTTGTACTTTGGACTTATTTTCTTGAATTTTTAGGATTGGATTTTTTGAACTGTAATCTGATCAAACCGTATAACGGAGTGTCATTTTGTCAGATAATCCAACTATCTTTTGGAGCATTTCGATTAAACCGAAGAACTAGATGTCATTTTGCTATTTAGGTTGGTTGAGTTTTGGTTAATGACCTGTTGTCCCTTTATGTCAAACAGCCATCACATATTTTGCGATTTCTTTATTTAAATATACATAAATTTACAGCTGTCAACTGTTAAAATGACATGTTGCCATTTGATTATTGCATAATTCTCTAAAAGATCTCGTTTTTAAAAGCTTGACAGCATTTTTGACAGTTGTCATCTGTCAAAATGACAATCCGTTATTTGGTTTGATTTTAATAATACTTCTGTTTAAGAAAATAAAGGTAAAATTTCTTATAAGCTACCGTTATCTATGTTTGACAGTTTTTTGGCAGCTGTCAACTGTCAAAAAGACATGATGCTACTTAATTTGTAATGTTAAATATTTCTATTTAAAAAAATAAATGTAAAATTACTTGTAAACAGTAGTCTAGTCAGTAGTCTAGAAAATACTAAAACTTATTTAAATTAATGTAAAATACTTGAATACTCATTGCCAAAAGTTTGACAGTATTATTGACAGCTGCCATTTGTAATAATTTGTTTTTGACTAGAGAATCGTCTGAAGAAATACACTAAACTTATGTTAAACCCCATTTAATTGTCCATGTGCACAGCTCATTTTTGTTTTTTAACAAATTATTTAAACCATTGTCAATTAATTATAAAATAATTCATAATACTTTAAATGCTAAGTATAAACACAAGGTCCGACAAAAAACAATAAAAAATATAATAGTTTAGATGCAACAGCCAGACTGAGATTAAAAGTTGCGTATTATCTAATACTATTTATATTCTAAATAACTAATAAATCAGTTTAATTGTTTTTCTATAGAACTCAAATGACGTTTTTTTCGAAAATTTTTATTATCACACGTACTTTACCGTAGTTTTGAATAAAAAATATGAAAAAATTTGAAATAATTGATGATAAGATTAGTAAGTTTTTTAAATAAAATTTCATTTTTAACAATGTATGTATCGATAAATTTTTTTTTAAATGTAAAAACTTAATAATCTTATCGTAAATTATTAGAAATATGTAAAGATCTAATAAATGTTATAAATTATCCCTTAAAAACATAACAATAAATATTATTGAAATAAAATATATTTACCATCGGCAAAACAAATCCATCATTATAATCAGTGTGTTCACCGATTAAATTAACTCTGCCAGGTGCGCAGACGCAAATATTAGCATTCTCTCCAAATTTTTCAGTAAAACTTTGCAGTGCTTTGACGCGGACGTCATTTAATTTTGGTACAATTAAAGCCATTTTAAACTCTATACTATAAAAGTATTTTTCAATTTTTATATAATTCTGTTTATTAAGAATTTTAATTTACTGTGGTGCGGTAAATTGTCTGTATATCTGAAGGTCTAACAATAACTGGTAGATAAATTCATTAATAGGAATGACTGGCTGTCACATCGCACAAAACAATCCAGATACTGAACACTTTTTTTCTTATTATCACCAGATAGGCTCGTACACACAAGAGGCTCTTTCTCTTTATTTTAATATATATGTATGAGGCTCTGGATTTTAAAAGGGCACACACGCGAACACACGACCAGTCAGTTGGACCCTTATAATGAAATTTAAAAGTTGTTCAAAATCAATTTTAATATATTTTTTCCTGCACAGAATTTCAAGGCACACCTGTTTTCAAAATGAAAAAATTTTATGTATTTTTTAGTTTTTAAGTAAATTACAAAAAAATGATTTTTCAAGTTAAGAAATTTTAATTTATTTTTGACTTCAACTCGTGAATACTTCGTTATATATAAATATTTTTCCACGAAATTTACACAGAATGTTCTTCAAACTATTCTAAAAGTGAAACAATACTATACTATACTGTTTAAGTATTAATTAATTAAGGGTCTAGAATAAAGAAACTAAAATTATTAACACTTTTTACCTCCTAAAACAAGCATTATTTCAAAAAACAAGCCCCAGGAGTATAGCAGTATACTTGTTGGAAAAACTTTTTATTTCATTTTAACATACAGAAAAAACATCCTTGCAATTAGCGATCTGGAGAACCCTCTAGTAACAAATTTAAATCAAATCCGTTAAGTTATTTAAAAAATTGGCCGCAATATTAGATCCGCCATTTTAAATTTTGAAATTCAGACTTAAAATAACCCTTTCAGTCCTATAATTAGGGCAATTAAAAAATATCTACAATAGGTATAGTACCTATGGTTTTCGGGGTCGCTGATTACGAATCTGGAATCAGATTTTCAAAATTTTGAAAATTCAAAATGGCGGAGTCAATAAGGTGTACGATAAAGTAAAAAATTAATCAAATTTACTTGAAAGTTGTCACTCGGGGGTTTTTGGGGTCGCTGATTACGAATCAGGAATCAGTTTTTCAAAATTCAAAATGGCGGATCGAATATGGCAAACAAAATTTAAAAATTAAACAAATTTGCTTGAAAATTGTCTCTTGGGGGTTATTAAAGTCGCTGATTACGAATCTGAAGTCAGTTTTTCAAAATTCAGAATGGCAGATTCAATATCGCGGACGATAGATTACAAAATTAATCAAATTTACATAAAAGTAGTCTTTTGGTGGTTTTTAGGATCGCTGATTACAAATCTGGAGTCAGTTTTTCAAAATTCAAAATGGCGGATCCAATATGGCGGACAAAATTTAAAAATGAAACAAATTTGCTTAAAAGTTGGCATTCGGAGGTTTATGAAGTCGCTGATTCTTAATCTGAAGTCAGTTTATTAAAATTAAAAATGGAAGATTCAATATTTTGGACGAGGAAATAAAAAATCTATCAAATTTGTTTGAAAACTACCGCTTAGATTTTCTCTAAGGCACTTATTACGAATCTGAAGTCAGTTTTTCTAACTTTAAAATAATGAATACAATATGATAGTCAAAAATTAAAAATTGACAATATAGGACTGAATGCTGCTTCTTGGAAGTTTGCGGGGTGTGTAAATACAAATCTGGAATCATTCTTACAAAATTTTTAAATGGCGAAATATTTTTAAGGGGTTACATCTGGTTGGAATTTTTTTTTTGCATTTTTTTTTATTGGCTCAAATTGCGTCAAAACATTCCTAGATTAATAATCAATAACGGCCGAGCATGAAAAGACCTCAAAAATGCTCTAAAAATTGGTTTTTGTAGAGCAACTTTGAGATCTTAAAAGAGCGAATTTCGAGTATATCGTTGACGCGGCATTTTTTGAATCTCGGGGTCATATATATGCTCATAACTTATCGACCGCCAAGAATATACTTCAAAACTTGCCTTGATAACGTAAAAAAAATACCAAAGGTCTCGGGGGCCAAGGTAAATTGACGGGTAAGCTCATTGATGAACTTACTATTTTTTATGGACTTGCTATTAGACGCAATACTGAATCTGTTGAGAATATGAGAAATGATATATGGGCAACCCTCTATCACAAAATATCTACAGACGAACAACCGCAGCACGAAAAGTGTCCAGTCGGAGTCGATTCTTGGTGCTCTTGGCAAAAGAGCAAAGCGCTAGGTACTTTTTTCTCTTATCAGCATAAGCCTATTATGCATAAGGATGTCTTTGAAGCTATCAAGCCCATATACAAAGACTTGAGCTCCGACGATCTTCTCTCTCGTTGCTTGGGCGGATACACTCAAAATCAAAATGAGTCTGTTAACTCAGTTGTATGGGCTATCGCTCCAAAATCGATGTCAAACGGAAAGAAAATACTCGATATAGCGACTGATATCTCCACCATCACTTTCAACGAGGGATTATCCGGTTTATTTTCCATCTACGATGCACTGGGCATAACAGTTGGGCGTTTTTTACTCGACTTTTGTATGAAATCGGACGCAAATAGCATTAAGGCCGCTGAACACTCGATTTCAGAAGTCGAGAAAATGACGAGACGCAGCATTACTTCGTCGAGAAAGGAACAAGAGGACCAAAATTCTAATTTGGAAGGGCAATTGTATGGTGCTGGGATAGCAGAGTAAAGGTAGAAAATTATTGTAGATCTCATTATCATGATTTCAAAAAGTTGTAGTGTTCTTAAACTTTAACTGCGATTTTCTAGAAACCACATTTTTGAAATCTGCACGCAGTAGAACTCAAAGAGTTTTTATCCAAATGACTTGAAATTTTAACTGTAACTTCTTAATTAGATTATCTAAAGAAGTACACACGATTTTTACAGTGGATAAAAAAATTTTTTTTTAGAGATATTTAAATAGCGATTTTTCCCACACAGCACCGGGATATTCAGGATATCCCAGAGACGTCCTGGGGATATCGATTTGTTTTCGGAAGTTTGGATATCCCTGGATTATCCTCTGGATATCCATGGACGTCCCTAGGATATCCCAGAGATATCCAAACTTCCGAAAACAAATCGATATCCCCAGGACGTCTCTGGGATATCCTGAATATCCCGGTGCTGTGAGGGTTTTTTTTTCTTATAAAATTATAATCGTGTGTACTTCTCTAGATAAACTCGTCTAGTTTATGAAAACAAATTTTTTATGCTTGCAGATGATGGTCCAGGAGACTTCTACTGCGTGCAGCGGAGCCATATTTTTAAATATCACGTTATATTTAAGGCCTAAGCACAACGGTTCGGTTTCGGGAGACGGTTTCGGGATATGTAAGATTTACATACATTTTGAGGTTAGGAAGCCCATATCCCGAAGTCGTCTCCCGCACCCGACTCAGTTGTGCTTAGGGCTTTATCGACCGAATACCGCCATTTTGTTTAGTTATGTCAATAAACAATTTTTTTCATATACTTGAAGGGTTGCTTAGTTGATCTATATAGTATTTGTTTATGTTCATTCGAAAACCTGATCAGAAAAAAAATTTGAAAAAAGACTATTTTTTAGGCCTCCAACCAGATGTAACCCCTTAAAAAACAAAATTAATAATGTATTAAAAAATTTAAAAAAAATTAAAAACATTTAAAAAAACAAAAACATTATTAGAAAAAAGATGAAACTCTGCCATTGCCGGTCCCAAGCCCGTGTTAAAAAAGAGGAGGGTGTTTCCAAATTCGTAACTTTTTATGTCTGCCATATGGATTTATGGATCCACTATTTTGAATTTTTAAAAACTGACTTTAGATTCGTAATCAGCGACCCCAAAAACCCCGGGAGACAATTTTAAAGCAAATTTATTTAATTTTTGTCCCTCATATTGGATCTGCCATTTTGAATTTTTAAAAACTGACTTTAGATTCGTAATCAGTTTTAGTTTTAATATTTACATTTGTAGTAATTAAAATTTTAATGTAATTTTAATCACATAATGGAGGAGCTGCTATAATTTACTTTAGATAACCTAAGTTATCGTGAAATAAATATTTTGACACTCTGATAGTCATTTATTTATTTAATGTAAAAGGTAAAAGGTGCGGGAGAAAAATTGCAAAAGAATCGAGAGTGTAAAAGATCTGAATGCAAAAGATCCGAGAGTCAAGTGTAGATTAATTTGTTAAAAAACGACTGAACCCTATTTGTAGGAACGAAAAAATTAGAACTATGCAATTATTTAAAATTTTTCTTTACGTTATGTGCGATTCCATGGGAGATTTTAGTTTTTTCGGAGTAAGTAAACCAATTGCAATGAAACTTAGGAATTTTAATCTACACACAAGAAGACTATATACAGGAGAACCAACTCGCCTGCTTGTTCATAGAGAGCAGTGGTCCCGATTTTAACGTACGACTGGGTGTACTACCCCGAGGCGCACTAGTCTTTTGCACATCCCAACACATGCATAACTGTATAAACTCTATCTGTGTATCTTTAGATAATGTGTGTTTGTTTTGTTTACAATTTTCTTGGTTATGTGCAAGTTCTGTGACAGTTGATTTTGAAAATATGTAGAGTTTGTATCTTCAGAAATATTTGTGCTTGATTTCATCTTCATTAGTTTTTATAATTTATAAATCCCTTTTAAAATTTAAGTTAAGTTAGTTTAGTTGGAAAAATTCCTCTTTTGGAGGTTATGGTTAACCTCAAATACAATGCTATAACAGAAATAAATATAATTGCAGCAATAATAAATATATAATAAATTATATATTATAATAGGAGCGATAATAATTTATAATATAACATGCCCTATTTTTTATTGTGAGATAAAAAATGTTTATGAAGATCCCATTACAACTTTTATTATTTAAATTAACACTCTTCATCAAGACGAATCATAATTAAAAACACTAGTGTTAAATACACTTCTCACTTTTTTTAGAAATTTTTGTATTAAAAATATTAAGTTCACTTAATATTTACACTTATTATTCAATATGGAGGAGATAATAAAAACTTGCAGCTGTTACAGCTGTCAGATGGAATATATATAAAATATACACAGTTATGCATGTGTTGGGATGTGCAGAACACTAGTGCGCCTCGGGGTAGTACGCCCAGCCGTACGTTAAAATCGGGACCATCGGAAATACTCGAGTTGTTCCTCCTGTATATAGTCTTCTTGTCTACACATAAAAAGAAACATTTCCAGCAAATATTACGTCAAAATATTCAGTAGTTTTTGAGATGTCAAAATTTTGAAATTGTTATATCTTCTTTCCATCTTAACCAAATCACTTAATTCTTTTTGGAAAAAATTCAGCATAATAAAACAAAATTTTTTTTTTATATTATGTTTATA